AAGAAGGTCTATTTATTCAAACAACCTTGTTAGAGCTCCCATGGAGAAGGTCTATTTATTCAAACAACCTTGTTAGAGCTCCCATGGAGAAGGTCTATTTATTCAAAAATCCTTGTTTGAGCTCCCATGGAGAAGGTCTATTTATTCAAACATCCTTGTTTGAGCTCCCATGGAGAAGGTCTAGTTACTCAAACATCCTTGTTAGAGCTCCCATGGAGAAGGTCTATTTATTCAAAAATCCTTGTTAGAGCTCCAATGGAGAAGGTCTATTTATTCAAACATCCTTGTTTGAGCTCCAATGGAGAAGGTCTATTTATTCAAACATCCTTGTTTGAGCTCCAATGGAGAAGGTCTATTTATTCAAACATCCTTGTTAGAGCTCCAATGGAGAAGGTCTATTTATTCAAACATCCTTGTTTGAGCTCCAATGGAGAAGGTCTATTTATTCAAACATCCTTGTCAGGGCTCCAATGGAGAAGGTCTATTTATTCAAACATCCTTGTTAGAGCTCCCATGGAGAAGGTCTATTTATTCAAACATTCTTGTTAGAGCTCCCATGGAGAAGGTCTATTTATTCAAACATCCTTGTTAGAGCTCCAATGGAGAAGGTCTACTTATTCAAACATCCTTGTTAGAGCTCCCATGGAGAAGGTCTACTTATTCAAAATCCTTGTCAGAGCTCCCATGGAGAAGGTCTATTTATTCAAAAATCCTTGTCAGAGCTCCAATGGAGAAGGTCTATTTATTCAAACATCCTTGTCAGAGCTCCAATGGAGAAGGTCTATTTATTCAAACATCCTTGTATGAGCTCCAATGGAGAAGGTCTATTTATTCAAACATCATTGTTAGAGCTCCGATGGAGAAGGTCTATTTATTCAAACATTCTTGTTTGAGCTCCAATGGAGAAGGTCTATTTATTCAAACATTCTTGTTAGAGCTCCAATGGAGAAGGTCTATTTATTCAAACATCTTTGTTAGAGCTCAAATGGAGAAGGTCTATTTATTCAAACATCCTTGTGAGAGCTCAAATGGAGAAGGTCTATTTATTCAAACATCATTGTTAGAGCTCCAATGGAGAAGGTCTATTTATTCAAACATCATTGTTAGGGCTCCAATGGATAATGTCCATTTATTCAAACATCCTTGTTAGAGCTCCAATGGAGAAGGTCTATTTATTCAAACATCATTGTTAGAGCTCCAATGGAGAAGGTCTATTTATTCAAACATCCTTGTAAGAGCTCCAATGGAGAAGGTCTATTTATTCAAACATCCTTGTTAGAGCTCCAATGAAGAAGGTCTATTTATTCAAACATCCTTGTTAGAGCTCCAATGGAGAAGGTCTATTTGTTCAAACATCCTTGTTAGAGCTCCCATGGAGAAGGTCTATTTATTCAAACATCCTTGTTAGAGCTCCAATGGAGAAGGTCTATTTATTCAAACATCATTGTTAGAGCTCCCATGGAGAAGGTCTATTTATTCAAACATCCTTGTATGAGCTCCAATGAAGAAGGTCTATTTATTCAAACATCCTTGTTAGAGCTCCAATGGAGAAGGTCTATTTATTCAAACATCCTTGTTAGAGCTCCCATGGAGAAGGTCTATTTATTCAAACATCCTTGTATGAGCTCCCATGGAGAAGGTCTTTTTATTCAAACATCCTTGTTAGAGCTCCCATGGAGAAGGTCTATTTATTCAAACATCCTTGTTAGAGCTCCCATGGAGAAGGTCTATTTATTCAAACATCCTTGTCAGAGCTCCCATGGAGAAGGTCTTTTTATTCAAACATTCTTGTTAGAGCTCCCATGGAGAAGGTCTTTTTATTCAAACATCCTTGTTAGAGCTCCAATGGAGAAGGTCTATTTATTCAAACATCCTTGTCAGAGCTCCCATGGAGAAGGTCTATTTATTCAAAAATCCTTGTCAGAGCTCCAATGGAGAAGGTCTGTTTATTCAAACATCCTTGTTAGAGCTCCAATGGAGAAGGTCTATTTATTCAAACATCCTTGTATGAGCTCCAATGGAGAAGGTCTATTTATTCAAACATCCTTGTATGAGCTCCAATGAAGAAGGTCTGTTTTTTTAAACATCCTTGTATGAGCTCCAATGAAGAAGGTCTGTTTTTTCAAACATCCTTGTATGAGCTCCAATGAAGAAGGTCTATTTATTCAAACATCCTTGTATGAGCTCCAATGGAGAAGGTCTATTTATTCAAACATCCTTGTATGAGCTCCAATGGAGAAGGTCTATTTATTCAAACATCATTGTTAGAGCTCCGATGGAGAAGGTCTATTTATTCAAACATTCTTGTTTGAGCTCCAATGGAGAAGGTCTATTTATTCAAACATTCTTGTTAGAGCTCCAATGGAGAAGGTCTATTTATTCAAACATCTTTGTTAGAGCTCAAATGGAGAAGGTCTATTTATTCAAACATCCTTATTAGAGTTCAAATGGAGAAGGTCTATTTATTCAAACATCATTGTTAGAGCTCCAATGGAGAAGGTCTATTTATTCAAACATCATTGTTAGGGCTCCAATGGATAATGTCTCCATTTATTCAAACATCCTTGTTAGAGCTCCAATGGAGAAGGTCTATTTATTCAAACATCATTGTAAGAGCTCCAATGGAGAAGGTCTATTTATTCAAACATCCTTGTAGAGCTCCAATGGAGAAGGTCTATTTATTCAAACATCCTTGTTAGAGCTCCAATGGAGAAGGTCTACTTATTCAAACATTCTTGTTAGAGCTCCCATTGAGAAGGTCTTTTATTCAAACATCCTTGTTAGAGCTCCAATGGAGAAGGTCTATTTATTCAAACATCCTTGTTAGAGCTCCAATGGAGAAGGTCTATTTATTCAAATATCCTTGTTAGAGCTCCCATGGAGAAGGTCTATTTATTCAAACATCTTTGTTAGAGCTCCAATGGAGAAGGTCTATTTATTCAAACATCTTTGTTAGAGCTCCCATGGAGAAGGTCTATTTATTCAAACATCCTTGTTTGAGCTCCAATGGAGAAGGTCTATTTATTCAAACATCCTTGTTTGAGCTCCAATGGAGAAGGTCTATTTATTCAAACATCCTTGTTAGAGCTCCCATGGAGAAGGTCTATTTATTCAAACATCCTTGTTCGAGCTCCAATGGAGAAGGTCTATTTATTCAAACATCCTTGTTAGAGCTCCCATGGAGAAGGTCTATTTATTCAAACATCCTTGTCAGAGCTCCAATGGAGAAGGTCTATTTATTCAAACATCCTTGTTAGAGCTCCCATGGAGAAGGTCTATTTATTCAAACATCCTTGTTAGAGCTCCCATGGAGAAGGTCTATTTATTCAAAAATCCTTGTCAGAGCTCCAATGGAGAAGGTCTGTTTATTCAAACATCCTTGTTAGAGCTCCAATGGAGAAGGTCTATTTATTCAATCATCCTTGTTTGAGCTCCAATGAAGCAGGTCTATTTATTCAAACATCCTTGTTAGAGCTCCCATGGAGCAGGTCTATTTATTCAAACATCCCGTTGAAGGCAATTTAATTATTGTTGATATTACATAGCTAAAGCTTGGACTATTTCTTGTCACAAGTGATTATATTCTGTCGTATTTCACGCTATATTTGTATGTTGTTGTTGTCCATTGTGTTAGGGTTAATTAATTTCATCAAACATATATCGAGATGGAAAGCTTTCCAACGTTATTAGTCTGGTCAAATGAAGCATTTTAAAAACACAATGAAATGTATTGTAGGATTTTTTTACTCATTTTTATCAAACCATGTTAAAGTATAGGCTCTCATTGAACGCTTATAGAAAGGGAGAAAATTGAAATGTATGGACTAATATTAGGCGTAGAAATGATTTCATTGACATTGTCGTCATGTCTTGAAATTGTTCTTACTTCACAATGTGTATATTTATCCCATATATATCTAGTTTGTCTTTAATTAGGGTATATTCCAAACCATGTTAGAAATCTACCTTATTTTATGAGTTTTTAATCTAAAATATATGTCTTGACTTTTTACCTCTCATGAAAATATTTTAATGTGTGGCGAAAAAGACCAGGATAGAACTATCAAAGAAAAGAACAAACTGTAAGACTCCAAGCTAACGAAAAGGGAACGCTAGAGCTATTAGGTATATGGTGGAAGAAGATCAACTTTTCTCTTTGCCAAACCTTACCTTACCTCTTACCTTACCTTACCTTACCTCATCCCTTACCTTACCTCTTCCCTTAGTATTAACTTAGTTTACATCTTACTTTACCTCTTACCTTACCTCTTTTTTTACCTAACCTTACCTTTTACCTTACCTTACTTCTTAACTTACCTTATCTTACATTACCCCCACTTACCTAACCTTACCTCTTACCTACCTAACCTCTTTTCTTACCTTACCTTACCTCTTACCTTACCTTATCTTACCTTAATTCTTATCTTACCTTACCTCTTAACCTATCTTACTTCTTACCTTACCTCTTACCTTACCTTAATTCTTACTTTACCTTATCTCTTACATAACCTTACATTACTTTACCTCTTACCTTACCCCTACCTTACCTCTTACTTTACCTTACTTCTTACCTTACCTTACGTCTTACCTTACTTCTAAGCTTACCTTACCTCTTACCTTACTTCTTAGCTTATCTTACCTTTTACATTACCTCTTACCTTACCTCTTACCTAACCTTACCTCTTACCTTATCTTTTACCTTACGTCTTAGCTTACCTTACCTGTTACATTACCTCTTACCTTACCTCTTACCAACCTCTTACATCACCTTACCTCTTACTTTACCTTACCTCTTACCTTACCTTACTCTACCTTATCTTATTTGACTTATCTTTACGTTAATTTACTTTCTTATATTGTAGCATCTTAATCCTTACATCAGCTAAAATATGTAGTAGTTTTAAAGGGAGAAAACCTTACATAAACCTCGCGATTAATATCTGATGGATTATGTTTTCTGGAGGTCAAAGGTTGCAGTTATAACATGTCTATTTAAACCAAGATTAGATCAAGTATGACGTTTTTCCAATTCACTCTTATCGATCCGTTTGTAAATACAACTTAATTTTGAAACCGTATATCTCTTTTGTAAATATAGGCATGTTAAACAGTAACAAATGTTTTAAATCGAAGGGAATTTAGTTTGATTTATTACTAGACAGGTATGTTATAAATATTTCAATTAAGCATAGTTTTGAAATAAATAAAGCATAACTTTGAAAATAACTAAACGCTACTATTTCAATACTAATTAAGCATAACTTGAATATTTATTAAGCATAACTTTGATACTAACTAAGAAAAAGTTTAATACCCATTAAGCGATAAAAATTAAGTATAACTTTGAAGATAGTTCACATCCATCATTTTCAGAATATTAGTTCCCTGAATTTTAAGATGAAAACAAATTAAGACACGATATTATATGTATGAATTTGTCTTAGTATTATTTGATTTCATTTATTTGCGAAATGATTTGACTTGTCATAAATTCCTCATCGCTTGGTTTAACAAGAAAAGGTTTAATTCTGACTTTTATATTCCTCATATAGCAGTGAAATATCGATCAACCATTCATTAACTTCACCTAGGACATTTTATTTATTTTACGACAGGAGCTGATTGATTTTGATATTGATATATACGTTAGATAGGAATAGTGGGTGGGGTAAAGACACTATGGCGGATGCCAGGCAGTTTAACCTGAAGTTTGACGCTTCCAAAGGTCAGGCAGTAGACGAATACTTGGAATATAGAAGGTAATGTTTCTGATCTTAATACTTTTGTGCGTTGCTTCAAGAACGATCCCAAATCACTTTGTACTTTCTTAGTTTAGCTTGATACCTTAGCAGGGCTGGTTGGTTTAAACATATCTATTTAAGCTCGATTTCGAAGCAAGTTCTTGCCACTTACATTAATCACTTTCGAGTCCGTTTCCTGGAACCAACCAGTACTGGTGTCATATGATGAAACATGGTCCTAACCCGATTAGTGCCCGGACCCATGATTCCTTGGTTGAGAGGCAGGCACCTTAACCTCTAAGCTACCGCTCTCCTGGGCTGGTTAATGTCGGTCTGCAGATTATCCAGTCAGCCTACCACTTGCCGGAGTTCTACCTTGGAGCCCGTTCATGTCGGGTTCAATGTGCATGGGTCACGCCAAAGTCACAATATAACGTACAACTAATGTGATTAAAACGCATCCATGTGAAAACACAATTATAAAATGAATAAATATAACGTGCTTTATCAGAATTCATTAATTTTGCTGCTTGATTTACAAAACAGAAAAGTATATTTAATAAGAGCACTCATTCTATAAATCTATAACTATCATGGATAAGCGATCTGAATCGATAAATATAAAGTACGTGGGAGTGGGTGTGACCGAGTTACTGTATTGTAAACAAGAAGCTAAAGTCTAATATCCATATCTCTTTGAAATGCAAATATCCAAATATACTGCATGTACCGTTTGTTGTAAATATACCGCACATATGTATTACATTTCACACTTAACACAAAAGATCATTTGGTCACATATTTATCAGTTAAACATACAAAATGTACATATGATATATATATAATATGTACAAAGAATTCTCATTAAATGACCTATTCCTTTTTAATAGTTGTTGTGAAGTACGTAAGAAAACATACTTTAATTCATAATTGCCCATTGTGAATGTTTGATTATGTTATTAATATAAATAATTCAATTTTAGGTTGTGCATGTCGCATAAAGGGAGATAATTAGAGGATCTTCTGTAATACTTTGAATGGAGTTCATTCCCTTCCTAATCACTGAGGTCGCAATTTCTTCTAATCCACAATACTCAATATCAACTGAAGACCCTTTAACTCTAAACAAATAAATTGGGTATTAAGATCCTTTTCTAACTGTGCATGCAGATTGAACTTGCTGCATATAAGACTCTGCATTGACTAAAATGATTGGATATGTTGTATGGAATTTATTTCATTCACATTTCAGTCCGCAAGCCAATGCTTCAGTGGGTGGATGGACCTTAACACATAACTTAATTGTTTAACAGTAAATAGCAAAAAGAATATGTGTTATCATTTTTGTGTACCTAATGCCTTTCTATGATAATATGTTTCAGTAATAGTTAATTAGTTTGCTTCTTACTATAAAAAAACTATTCGTACTCGTATGTAATTACAGGATTGTAGGAGAAGATGACGGTGGTAAACTGTTTACACCTGAGGAGTTTGAAGAGTATAAAAAGAAGGTCCTTCCTTTGGTAAGACTATCAGTTTTAATCGCAAAATTATTTATTATCGTTTATTTATGTTATTACATAACATATTATAGTACTATATTTTTCACCATGAGGCATTTCATTCACACACAATTATGAAACATGCCTATAGAGTAACAATAGCTACATTGCCTGCATTTTAACTGATTTCCCATTTTGTAAGCATAATGAATAAGTTTAAGATACTAGTATGAAAACAATATGTTTATTGTTTATTAGTTTATTTAAGTCTCATCCATTACATGTACATATAATACAAATATACATTCAATAAAACTTAAAATACATGTAAATGGTCATTTTTATGAAGAATTATAGGAGACTACATGTATGTTGTTACAAACATGTTACAAGTATCATAATATACAATCCACATTTACAAGGTTAGATCAGATTAAACCTTACACAGATAGGTATTTTACATAGTCATATATGAGCAGTCCAGTAAAATCAAAAACAATACACATCTGAGTAGTTGATTCATAATATTACTTAACTATAAGATTAAAATTTAATTTGTTACAATACTTTAAAACAGCTAAGATGTTCAATTCTTTACACTTTGATATATCTCAAAAACAGCTAAAATCTTAAATTCTTTTAAAAAAAGGTGTTATCACTAAATGGCCTTTTTAGAAACAATTTCCATTGATAAAAAAGTGTTAAAACCATATAAAACTATATATGTACGTAAAAATACCTTATTATAATACAAGCATATAGCTAGTTTTTTTCCAGCTGGAGTGCTGATAATGCTCATTTACAAGCATAAAATGCAGCCATCTTACACATATATACAATCTGACCAGACCATATATGGTCTTGCTTCTCAATCTTAGCTTTTTCATATCAAACCCCAACCCCTTTAAACGTGTAATACTAAATGACAGATTCCATTTAAAAGCAGGAATAGTTTATTTCTAGAGGTAGAAATGTATATGTACATGATGGATGTAAATATTCCTTTGTTGCACAAACTATATCTCCAATGTTTTCAAACCTCGTATCATTTTATTATTATACGGTTTATAATTTGTATTTTAATATTAATTACACAGAGAATGAAGAATAGGCTGTATACCAGTCACAGTGGACCAACGGGCATGGACTGTAAGCTAGTGGGACCCGAGACGCTATGTTTCTGTAAACACAGGTAATTAATGCCAAATAACGTAACTATGTCCAATTTGTCAACTATTTGATATTGGTTGATAATAAACATAAAAATAACCAACACTTCATACGATTTTTGACCAATTTCATAATACTAAAGGGTGTCTTTGACTATCTTATGAAATAATTATCTACTAGTATTTAACCGTCGTATAAAAATAGTTATTTATATAGTCGTTGCATAAACATATATAACATGTATATGCCAGGATATGTAAATGTATCAAGTCTTATCATTCTAAACGTATTTTTATTTAATTTCAGGTACAAGCAACATAAGACGGATTTTGAGGAGATTCCCAAAGAACGTCCTATAAAGTTACCATGCCGGGCCTCCAAGTGTAAATGTGTCAGCTATCACTACGTACCACTAAATGGTTCTCAACCTATACGGTGTCATTGTAAACACACATCGGATGAACACGCAGAGTTCGGAAAGTTAGTTTGCAAAAAAGGTAACCGCTTGTATTAGCAAGCAAAGTATTGTTAACCAAGATTACATAACATACGCAGATTTAAAATTCACGTTGCCACATTTATGCCTATAATTCTCCAATGATGTCAGACGCATTTCTTTTATTCTTACAGCTGGATGCACAAAATGCACGGGATTCACGAGTTCGTTCACGTGCGGATGCGGTGCTCCAGTAAGCCAACACAAAATGATTGTTGAGACAGGAGAAGAACGCGAAGCTCGGGGGCATCCTCTAGGGGAGGCAACACCGTACGCTGCTATGGGCGGTATAACGGGATTCTCGTCTATGGCGGAAGGATACATGAGACTTGATCCTAGCGGGAAAGGTCCGTAGAAAGTAACCAAGAACTTCAAACATAACTCTTATATTAATTTTTCATATCATTTTATTATTCATGTTTTCTTTTCATATTTTCTTTTCATATAGATATAAATTGTTCCAAGATATGATACATTTTTTAATTTAATTAAAATGGATACTATATATAAAGTACAAATCGAAATATAATACACTGTTATTATATATCAGCAATACTTTTACTAGTTAAATACTTTATCAATCCAATTAATACACACATGTACTGTGCATTTTACGGTTAAATTGAATATATTCAAGTTTAGAATATATGTTCCATAATACAGTCACAAAAGACATTACTTTTAATTTTACGCTCAACCTGGAAAAGCGCAACACGCCCCAGTAAAATAGTTTCTTTCAGTTCCTTCATTATAAAATCTTGTAATAATAATTCAGTAAACTTCACTAAGCCAAATGATCCAGATAAAATCATTTGTAATGCTTACTTATTTCAAGTGTAAGTTATAATGTATTTCTGTTAACCTAATCTTCTTTTCAGGTGCCCCTAACAAAGGGTTTTTGGAGCAATCTGTGACGTCATCAGATAACCCTTTCTTGAGAGCCAACGTACACGCTATAAAGCAGCATCAAATGAACAAGAAGCAACATGGTAAGGAAAAATCATTTAAATTATTTGCACGAGTATACATTTTATTTAACAAAGTAGCTGACCTGAGTTGCTCCGACATACTGAGCAAAATGCGCTGTTGAATTTCAGTATGATTATGATGAAGTGTTTCATAGCTATTTTGCAAAGTTTGATATATTTATATGTATCCATTGAACTTTACTGTAAAGGAAAATCAAAATCATGTATATTAAAAGAATGATATATTTTCTAGTAAATCTAATGTATATATCATTGTATTGTTTAAATCTATGGTGGCTAATGTGTGCCATACCGTACTTTTGATCCGCGGGGCGTTTGGCGAAAACACCACTTTTTTTTGCCTGGCGCCTCGACATGGCACAAATCAGCCACCATAATTATTCACTTTTTTTTGGACCTTACAATATATATTTAAGACTCCTTAAATTTTTCTTTTTCGCTATTTAAACTGACTGGTAGGTCCAGTAATGGTTAATGCATTAGCCTATGTATGAAAGTCATCATGAGTCTTCCATGTTTAGATTTTATACGCACGCACATATATTTACAACAGTACCTTAGAATAGATTTGTAAACATATATATAGTATATATAATTGTCACAATAATCAGTCATGTTTGTAAACATCTTCCTATTTTATATGTAATGATGGAGTGTAGGACTTAAAGCCCTCTCCGTTTCCCGTAACGACGAATATGAAGAATTGATAGATATATGATTAGCAAATCATTTATAAAGATTTTTTTCAATAAATTAATTTTAATATAAGCTAGACTATTTCGTATATGGTTTAACGCAGCAGATGATTTTATATACATGTAGATTTGAGAGTTTTCTTTTAGCAGGTTTTTCATATAAGATTTTATTCGGCACATTATTTCATATAAGATTTTATTCGGCACAGTATTTCTAAAAGGACATTAAAAAGCAGATTATTTCATATACTTTTTTCAGCAGCTTATTTCATAAATAAATATATATAATATTTTAATCAGTAGATTCATACAATACGTTTCCAGTATATTATATCATACATATTTGTACAGCAGATTAATTCTTATAAATTTGTACAGCAGAATATTGTATATTACATGTTATTTTGCAGATTATTTCATATAAGACTCTTTAAGCAGATTATTTCATATACAAATTCGTTCCGGCGATTATTTCCTATAAGATTTAATTCAGAAGATTATTTCAAATTCGAAACACACGTTTGTATTTCAGATATTGAAGCAGGTATATTTGTTTCCTGACACGTAGTTTCTTTGTGAATTCATTTCCCTCTTTTGATTAACCCTGTTCTTTAATTTCTTATCAAAAGGTGTTATATTCTAACTGGATTTCTTTTGAATTAGACCATTGTTAGAGTATGATAAAACATTTTTATTTTTCTTAAACATTGTAGATGAAATAATAGTTCATGACTTAAACAATTCTTACAATTATAGTCGAGCCATAGTTTGTATAAAGTGTCGAGCCATAGTTTGTATAAAGTGTCGAGCCATAGTTTGTATAAAGTGTCGAGCCATAGTTTGTATAAAGTGTCGAGCCATAGTTTGTATAAAGTGTCGAGCCATAGTTTGTATAAAGTGGCATAATTTATTGACAAAAGGGCAGACATAAATAGAGGATAATATAACTTATTCTTTATATAAATACAGAATTTATTATCATTGAGTGATATGAAAATAAATATTTCACGAGTGGCAATAGTCATGAGATGAACAAATCCTGTATTTATAGAGAAAAAACTTGAATTTTCTGTTTGTTTTATACTTTTTCACTTTTTTTGGACCTTACAATATATATTTAAGACTCCTTAAATTTTTTTTTTGACCTTACAACTTCTCTTTAATTTTGTGTACTGGCTGAATTAAAATAAATTAGTCCGACAAGACACCAGTGAAAATACGGAAAATATGTTTCACTGCAGTAAAAACATAAATTTGATAGTGAAAATACGATAAATGAAAATACGCATTTTATCTTATCAGTATTTCTCAATATTTCATTTATAAGTATATAATAAAGTTAAATAGTATTCAGTAAGCTGGTTTTGAGAACACATAGAAATGTTTGTGGTGTGTCACATTTTGCAAAATGAAACTTTAGATTTACTAACTTTGGTGAAGTTTCTTGTAGCATATTTGTTTGTTTGTGATGTCTCGCAAATACAATTTAGAACAATTAATCATTATTCAGACAGAAATAAATAAATAAATAAATAAATAAATAAATGTAAATAAAAGAACACCACTAATGAACGGGTGTTTTTCTTTACTTTAAGCTGATCCTAGGACCAGGTTTTAATATACGTCTTTATGGTAGGTTAAGTTTTAATGTACATTTTTTTATAGTAACCACCTACAATAAGACTTAAAATTACTAGTTTACTAAATTATGACAGGAAGCAGCTGTGTATCATCGGACATGAAACCCTTTATATTGTAATAAAGTGATATAAATATAAATAGTTAGTCACATGGCTTTTTAACAGTCTTATTTTTAGACTGTTTTATTTCATGCAAATAAAGTAATTATATTTTTCTCCTTTTGGCGGACAGTAGGGAAAGAGACATATATGAATACTCACATTGATCCTGTCAAAGAACAGGCTTTCACAAACAACATGAAATATCTTGATTTATGTTATTAATAATAATTGTAAATTAATTCTTATTTTAAAGGTTAAAGCTGTAATAAACAGTTTTATGCATTTTATGATTAAGTTATAATATGCAGATGTATGCAGACGTTCAAGGTTAATAAAAAATTAATTCCTGTCCTTAAAATAAACACGTTCTAGCAAAAACAAAACTATTTTATTGTGAAATTAGGTTCCGCTCTAAACAATAACAGGGGAAGTAGTTTTGGTTCTTAAATGAGGCTTGTGATATTAGGCAAAAGTGAGCAAGAATCGTCAAGAATCAATAGGCGAAAAGAGCTACATCCTCGTCCATAATGTATAGAGTAGTTCACAATGAATAAGTAATAGAAAGAGCATCGAAACACCAGGCTATCTGATTTGTTCAAGGGGGCGTAGCCCCCCCCCCCGAGTATTAATCAGATTGCCGAGTGTTTTGATGTTCTTTCTCTTTTGTATCATAGTCAAACATAAAAACACGTTCCCTGGTGTCACAATATGAAACCCCGGCAAAAAGGAACCAATGAACGAACATCTGAATATGATTTTTCTGTCGCTTTCCCTTTCTCTGCCGTCACAATATGTGAACACCAGCAAAAATGAGCCAATCAATGGGCATGCTCTGGAGTGCGGGTATCTAATACCTGCACTCCAGTTAACGCACTGTGCATGTATATGTATACGATTTAACTCTGACACATTTTCAACAGAAAGGTCCCCAAACTATGATACAACTAACATAAATCGTTTCAAATGTTGAAAAACGAGATAATTTACGAGACAACTGTTTCCTTATGTTCAAAAATAAAAATACTATATTTGTCTTTCTCTTGTTATTTTATCAACTCTTATGCACTTGTCACAATCTGTCATGCTGAAAAAAACCTATTCTCTCTTCACAATCCATCGTTCTCGTGTATAATATTGTTACGTCCATTGAAGACGTTGTTAAGATACGAAGATTTTTGTGAACATCAACCATGTTCACGTGTTAAATATTGTCACTTTCTTTGAATATTTTTGTTAACATAAACCATGTTCAAGTGTAAAATATTGTCACGTGCATTGAAGATTGTTGTTAACATCAGCCATGCTAACGTGTAAAATATTGTTACGTGCATTGAAAATTTCTGTTAGCATCAACTATTCGCATGTAAAATATTTTTACGTTTATTGAAGGTTTCTGTTAACCAACCAACAGGTTTGCGATCTAAAGATTGTTATATTCGTTAAACAAGATTATTAATTATATGCCATTGTTTCAACCTTGTCCACGTGTCAGATGGTTGTTATGATCCTTCTCTTTTAACTTGTTTATCTATCAGAAAATTGCTATATTCATAACTGATATTCTAACTATAGATTTACTATGTACGCGTGTCAAATAATTTTTTAATCATTTTTGTCACGTGTAAGAATATTTCTGTGCATTGCTTATCCTACATTTTCGTTTTAACATCGTACACGTGTTAGATGATTGTTCTGGTTTTGTTTTTTAACACCATAGGCCTACATTACGCATCAGTTATATGTATCAGACTTTGTCCTAATTGTTGTTTATTTACCATTGTGATGGTAGCAGTTGTTTAACATTGTCGTTATAAATCAAACAAATTATGTAGATTAACAGTCATACATAACCTTGTAAATAAACGACAATAGAAAGAAAAACTAAAATAACACTCATGCGCACGTGTGGAGTTATTTGACAATGGTAAACAATGTTTCATTCGATTGTTTTAAAATAAAATAAGAATGCAATTTAAGATAAGTTAAAGTTATGCATCATTCAATCCAAAAGCCATGTGTCTGCTGTTATTGTCGGAAAATATCAAACACATCTGTGCTGTGTTATGTCAAATGTCTGTTATTTTTGTAAATAAAAATAAAAAAGTATGAATTGAATTTACATATGTATCGATTTAAAAAAACCATAACAAATTTGATTCCATTTCATGAAATTATTATTGCAGCATTTAGGACAAATCTCGTATACCTTAAATAAACTAAAATAACTACACCCGTGATATAGATTATTTTCGTTCAATGAAACAGATCATTATCATCATCATCATCATCATCACTATCATCATCATCATCATCATAATCATCATCATCATCATCATCACTATCATAATCATCATCATCATCGGCTGCAGCAGCGGTAGGAGTAGCAGCAACAGCGGCAGAGGCAGCAGCGCACAGTATTATCATCATCATCATCAGCAGCAGCAACATAATCATCATCATTATAATCATCATCATCATTAGCAGCAGCAGCAACATAATCATCATCATCATCATCATCATTAGCAGCAGCAGCAGCAGCAGCAGCAGCATAATCATCATCATCATCATAATCAGCAGCAGCAGCAGCAGCAGCAACAACATAATCATCATCATCATAATCATTAGCAGCAGCAGCAGAAACGACAGCAGTAACAACAACAACCGCAAACATTACATTGTACACGTGTACAAGTCATTGGCCGCATGGATCATAAGAGTATTTATATACTCGTTACAGAAGTTATGATGGTATGCTGTATGTTTGTCTCTTCGGCGTCAAAAGATTGATGGTTATTTACTCATTAATGTTTTACCATGATGATGGAAAAAAGAATACAGTTCATCTTAAAACAAACTTCGTAAGAAGAGACATTTTTGAGTGATATCCCAAATTTTACACTTATACATGATAGATCTAAGTAATGTTGTGTCGCCACGAAAACTGTTTGTACGTGTACACTTTGCGTAGCGGGGGAAAAAAACGCACACTGACGGGGACCAGCCATCATTATATCCGGTTGGGCATGAATATATTAACATATTATACCTTGTATAAAGTTTTTCATTATAAATAACCCACCATAAGGCCAGCTTTGTAAGATGGTATTTGTATTACTGGTGAACCCTCTTTTACACTTATACACACATTAATTTACTGCAAACATCTGACGGCATCTCATTTTCCTTATATATCTTACATTTTCATGATGAACCATAGGTCATACCTATCTTCATAAAATCAACTTTATAACTTGGTATTTTTGTCCATGAAGCATTTTTATAACACTAAAATAAATCATAGCACTGGTTGTATGTCACAGGTTTGAGAGATATTACTATAAGCAGTAATAAAACATGGAAGTGTAACGTATGTCAAAATGTTGCTTTAACGTTGATTATAAGGTTGTTAAGAACATTTTCATGACCTTACTCGCACACTTTGAATTAAATGTGACTCTTTATTAGGAAAAATGTTCTTAAACAGAAACGAATACATTTTACTTATCATGGGTTGTGTAATGTTTGAATATAGATGTTTTAGAGTATAGTAGATACGTATTACCTGACAAAAGGAGCGATAAATGTGAAATTATTTTGTCATAAAGTTAGCAAAATGTCAACAAAGTAGTATTTTAACTGACATACAGAATACTAAATCACTGTACTAATTGACAAAAGAAAAAAAAACAACAGAAGAAAAAAAAGATGGTTCAGGTTATTGGCCAATGAATAACAGTTTGGAAAGTATAAAAGCACACGCACACATCCATGCACGCACACGCACGCACACCCATGCACGAACACGCAAGCACACACACACATACACAAAAAAAACAACAACAACAACAACAACAAAAAAACCTGAGAAAATAGTAGAAAAGCATTTCATGGTCAGAATGGGCCTTTCAGTCCTATAGCTACTTATCTTCTCCAACAATTACCGTCTTGAAGCCGAACGTGTATTTTCATACGCATCTCGACGTTAAGTAGACCTTCTAGAGGCACATTATGAATGTTGTTATTATGCTGTTTTTTTGTGGTATTTTTAACATCAAATGTGATTAGACACATAATATACGAATTATGACTATATTAATCAATGACTATTATAACACGGTTTATTCATATTTCTATCACGTTATAGCTAAATCTACAAATGAGCATGTTGATATAATAACTTATGACTTCATGTAAATAGTTCATGTTTATTGAAGGTGACTTATATGCCCATTTGGCCGGGTGTATTTAATATGTTATATTATTTGAATTGTAAAATATGTTAACACAAATTACTACAATAAAAATAAGTTACCTACTTGTTACTCTTTCATGAAACTATTGTTTTTATTTTTTTTGTATCATTAGAGTTCAAAAATAACTTTATATTGTTGTCCCCTACATATCTAATTGTATTTTTGTAATTTTACTATTTCCCTTTCATTTCAACATTATTATTTTGTACAATTCATACGTTCATGTAATATACAATTTTGTTAAATAATAATAATAATAATAATAATAATAATAATGATAATAATAATAATAATAATAATAATAATAATAATAATTATAATAATAATAATAAATATGTATATTCTCAATTAGTAACATACGATATTCAAATTCACTTTTTTGCATTTAAAAGTAATAAAAATAAGTACAAGAACTATATGTTTATTTACAATATTTACTGACCGATCCATTGACTTAGTTTTTTTATGACTATTTTCAATAATGTTTGTTGCGATTTGCTGAATTAATACTCTACAAGTGATATAAATATTGCTTTCTTTTTTGATATATTACCGCAGGTTTCATTTTCTTGTGTTGCAACGGAATTTCATCTATTTTGTAGGTTTGACTGGACCAGAGGACGAAATATTTGACGATATAGGCGAACGAGTGTCGTCCAGGCGGCGCCCGGGGGAGGATGACATGACATACTATGAGCGTAGATACCAAGAGAGAGTACGAAATTAATCAAGTTAAATTGACCCATTCTAAAGTAGGACTGTGCGCGTACGATTATATTCTAAATATAGCTATTAACAGCCTCCAGCTAAATTTGTTTGTTTGATTTAGCCTCGAATGTCGCCTTCATATTAAAAGAAGCGACTTTCTCATGGTATATGATGAAAAAGAATTTAAATTTTAATTGTGTGGTGCTTGCTGTATGTGATATACGCCTATAAAATGAATAATTTTTTTTCATGTACAATCGTAGTGATTACTATTTAAATAAATTTATTCATATTTCAGCAAGCAAATCAACCTAGTGGCCGAGAGCTCGACTCTCAAATGGACAAACTGACTATCGGATCAAGGAGAGCTGTCGAAGAAAAGCCAAGATCTGGTCGTAGAAAATGAACAACATTCATAATCTTATTGTATTTGAACTGTGATAAGACGGTTTTGTGTCTATATAAATATTTAGAAAAAGCAGTTTCTATTCACAAATACATATACATATATATACGATTATGTGAAGCATTATTGCTCAAGTATTTTTGCTTTTTAAGTCGCTTATACTTTGTCAAATGATATATAGATACTACAATTTTATTTTTATATTTCCACATTAAGCGAATTAATAAGCTGTTTAAATATTCATTCATAATATTGTATATTTTTTAAAATGATACCACGTGATCAATAAGTTTATTTCTAAAGATCGTTACTGATAAGACTGTATTCACCGAACTAAATATACATTTATAATATTGATAATTTTACATGATGCCATGTAACCAGTAAGTATATTTCTTTTATATCATCATTTAAGAAAAAACTGAATTTATTCACTTAAAAAGATTTATGATTTTATAAAAGAGTAGCATGTGATTTATGTAAGTTTTCGATATTTCCTTTATTCATAAGAACCACTTGACGACCTTTAACCTTTAAACAAAACATTAATAAGTTACTAATGCTCAGTTTGTTATTTAGAAGTTTTTATAACACATTATCACGTGCCTATTATATACTGTCTATAATCATTTAATTTATTAAATCTGTATTTTATATTTTTTTGTTGTACATTTAGATTCTACATAGAAACTTTTATTAAGTACTACATGGGCCAATTAATGTTACAAATCTTAAACATGTCGCTTTTCTTTTCTCTACCAATTCATCATTTCACTCTGTTAAAATGTCAACAGTTACCTTAATCTATGATTTAGTTTTTGTTTTTATATATATATAAAAAGCAAAAATTGTAATCAGTAAAATAAATGGAAATTTTCATAAATTTATTAGGTTTAAGGTGGGAAGCATTTTGGCGCACGTATATTCTTTTTTAATATTTATATATTATGAGGCGACTTTAACCAAATGTTTTGGGACAAACTAATTAATTTGAAATTAGATGAAAAAAAAAAAAAAGATTTCCTGTAGGCAAACGCCGATTCACCGGCCAATAAATTTTACCTGTACAACGTAAATGTAAAAAACAACAACATTTTCCCGTTTCATCTGTATGAAAACATACTCACGAGCTTTTGTTCTTTGAAAGTAATAGCTATTTTTAAATTATTCATATCGCAGTTAATTTTTTGACTGAGTAATACTATTATGTGACACAGCTTGTTTTCGTATAAGCAATAGCGTGTTAAGTATACTAAACACCTTCAGGTCAAATAGTTGTTTTCTTTTCTGTTCAACGCCAACAGTCTGAAGATATTATGTCTCTTTATATCCCCTGTTTTGTCCTGTTTTGTCCTGTTCTATCTTTACATGTCCACTATTGGATCATTTTTCAGCCATTTGACAGCTTTGTGATCCTTTGCTAAAACTTGACTTCTAAATATCTTTAATTTTGTCACTGTACCTAAACAATTACTTATAGAATTTTCGTTAAAATTCATCCAAACATTTAAAGCGTTTATGCTCTTGCGTACACTTATCATTATACAATTATGTATGGAATTTTCATTGTTACTCCTACATTCATACAGTTATCATTATCATTAAGCATTTGACCATATATTTTAGGCAAGAATTTTTATACTTCAGGCATTCCATCATTCATATGCTAATTTCACAGCCATCTTGCAGATGACATTTGATAACATAATACAATAATTAGCATTATAGTTTTCATTTATACATTTTTGTTGTCGATCTTTTCAACTTTTGCATTCTCTGCAGTTGGTCCTGTAATCAAATACAATGATTTACAGTGATATATTATTTATGTTGATATGTTAATTAGCTGAATTACAAGAAGTCGACGGTGAAGTAATTGTTCAACATGATATATTTCTCAAAAGTGCCGTCAGGCAAGGAGTATGTTTTCTAACCTATTTGTTTATGCTTCATTGATGCTTTGCATCGATTATACAACGAACCTGACACATAAACAGTGGTTAAAATATCAAACGGACCATTTGGTATTATAAAAAATCAAATACAAATATAAAATATGGTTGCCAATATTTCTGAATGTAAATGTCAATGGAATTAAAACAGATCGATTCCAATAGTTCTTCTAGAGATATAATTACTCGTTGCGTTACGTGCTTCAACTCTTAATTAAACTTGTCTAAACATGAAAAAGAAACAACGGAAATGTATTGAATGAGTCATGTGCTAATGACGAATAACATAAGGTGTTCAAAAAAGAGAAAAAGAATCAACAACAATAACAGCAACCTCCTTTCCTATGAAACATCATTAACAATTTACACCGTTTTGCTATTTTTTTCTTTTACACGCACAGACTGTGTGTACATGGACAAACAATGGAAGAAGATTTACATTAGGCAAACGACTAAAACCGCAAGTTGACGTGCTGCTATGAAGTGTTTTCAGAACTTTACGACACAATGCCAATCAATGTCAGCAATTAAACGTTTCATGATTACATGGACTGGTCTAAGTCAGCCGCATATTGCGTAACGCAAGATCATCATACTATGTGCTTAACCATTTTATTATTTGTATTAGTCTGAACTTAAAACATTATCGATATACACCATTTCATTTTCCCCCCGACCGATTAGGTAGAATGTAAACACAAATTTTATGTTTGTCATGGTTCGGATCGGACAGCCCGAATCACAAAGGATCAATACCGTCCATGAACAGGCTTAATCAAACCAAGCATGCAACAATTTCAATTTTGTCGTTTTGGGTGTTCTTTAAGGATACCGTTCGTTTTTCTCTATTTTATCTATATTTATCGTGAATCCCTCCTTTTTCTAAAAAGCATACAAAGGTTCACTGTTGTAGGATTAACTAAGTTATGTACATGTTATAAAGTTCTCAGCTAAGAAATCTGTATGTTCTAAACAAATGATGTACATGGTTCCTCTTAACAATTTTAAAGCTTAGTTAATAAATATACAATACATTTCTCTTCCTAAAAATCTTTTTATTCGCCTTTTATTACAAAGTAAGAAAATATGAGATTTTATCAAACAGAGTGGTATTTGTTATGATATCAGGTGTAGGAGTCCTTTTTTGTATATTTCACCGCGATGAAATTACAAAACTAGCCAGAAGAACTCTGCACACATGGTTCTTAACTAAGGTCCGTCCATACTACACCATAATGATTTAGCAAAAATATATGATATGTAAATGTAATTATACATCTATGTAAGTAGAATTATTTTAATTTAATGAAAATGTTAATTGGTATCAGTCTGCCTTAAAGATTGTTTCTAAAACACGTCACTTGGATAATAAATATTTTAACACTTTGGTAGATAATTACGATGAATGGAAACTTATCACAGAATTGTAAATATATATTTCACCATTATGTACACATATTGATATCAATAGCAATTTACAGTAAGTTTAGCCAGTATTCTTTCAAAGTTAGAGAAATTGCCTTACTCCTTCATTTCATTTTCCATAATGGTTTTGAAGCTTTTTCCATTTTGGCTTCATAAAGATGATATTTGACTCGAACACGATTACTATGACTTACAATCACAAGAACATTAGTACACTTCCAATTATTACAAACAGTCCTGGCTTCATAACACTTGCACCTGAACCGCCTGTGCTTGTGTCTTGTTTCCCAGAATCAGCCATGGTGTCGTGCACATGATCATCATGCGTATGAGTGTCATGCGGTTCGTGTGAATGGTCTATTGAACTTCTGTCGTCAACAGTTGATGTCGTAGTGAGGGCTGGTGTAGGCGATGGCGTGACAGGTTTTAAAGGCTTGTCTTTCATTTGTTCTGCCGCCGTCTCGTTTGCTTTAGTAATAGCTTCATTATAATTCAAACAGGCTTTTACTGCAATAGTTTTCAGCCCTTGCGGAGACTCGCTTTCTTGTTTAAAATAGAATGTGCAGTTAAAATCGGAATTTCTAAAGCGGCATTTTCTAAAGTTGTCTCCATCGGTTGCCCTTGGAAATCCGAAAACGAGTCTAAACTTTGCAATCAAGGAACACTTTTTTGGACAGTCATTCATAAAAGCCGTACATTCAGCACATTCTTTATAAGTTTTACAAAATCCTTGTTCATGTGATAGTTCACAAAGTATGCCAGAATGTCCAGGTTCGCATATACAATTACCTTGATGACAGAAACCGTGTCCACTGCAAGCGTCTGCATCTGTTGACAGACATGCTAGTACTTGAGGAGATTCAGTGATTGCAAGTGGAGAAAGTAGGTCATCTAAGGTTAGTCCTCCTCCGGTATCAGGGCCTCCAAGAAATGTGTCACCAATATTTCCGATATTTGTCAAATCTGCGTCATTGATTTCACATTTAAGTCCACTGTAACCATGGTAGCAGGTACATGCTCCGCCAGAACAACTTCCGTGTCCGTTACAAGGATATCCATTTGCTCCATGACAAAGGTAAGACAAGAGGGCGTCTTGTATTGCATTCTTAGTCTGTAACGTGTCACCATGTCCGCCATGTGAATTTACAGTTTTAATTATTACCGTTACAAAGATAAATATTCCATACATTTTCCTTCGTTTTTAAATAACTCTTATATAAATATTATGTTTAAATTTTAAGATTTGGTTACTGGTGTCAGCACTGTACGTTATATGTTCCTTGAATATTCGTTGAAACAATTAATTACGTATGTATACATCCGTGATTACACATTATTTAGTCACACAAGATGTATTTTACAGGAGGCAATTCGCAAATGATTAACCAATTTTATACAACAGTGAGCAACATAAATATTTCGCAACTAAATTTTAAGTTTTATTTCCTCAAAGCGGAATGACAACCGCTGTTTGAATTACTCCCAGCTGGTTACGCTTAGTGAATTAGAAAAAAAAATATGATAAATGAGTGCATGGTCAAAGTTTGTAAAACACATACATCATAATTAGTAAAATAGGATGAGGATTGGACGGTTGTTAAATATGAAAGATTCGTTAACTTTTAACTTAAATAAAACAAGACATAAATTAACGCCTACATGATAAAAGTTGTCACGAATTGTCCAGTTTATATCTCTATTTATATCAGGATTTAAATAACACTTTGTTTGACCAAAATAAATTGTATAAATATTTGTTTTGTCTATTTGATATTGTGTCATTTACACTCGTTAACTAGATTTTATGATTAGAATAAACTTGTTAGACGAACAATTAAGCTGGAAACTGTTTTGTCTGAGACAACAAGCGATTCATAAATCTAAAACAATAAAGAAATGTTAGTACAAAATCCCTATATCCAGACAAAATAGCATGCAAAACGGTTCGGTGTTTGTTTACTTGAAAGTATCTATCTCGTATTCCTAAAGTTCGTTCTCCTTCGTTCTAGTTTTGGAAATGATAACAATTGCAATTTTGCCCTTTGTTGTTTACATTTTTTTTTTATTAAAAAGATGACAATGATAATGTGAATACCTGTAAACCAGCCCCAACACCGTCTGTCTAGAAGTTAAGAAACAACTTCAATAAAATTATTATAATTAAGGTTAATTGATATTGAATAACAGGGCGTAAAATTATGGACAGTGTAACATTGACGGGAATAGAAAAATAAAATCAACTTGTGAAATCTTGTTCACAATAAGTGTATTTACAAGAAATAAAAATCAAACTATGTCTTGTAAAGCTTCCCGGGCTATTCATCCACACAAAACAAAGAAAGGAAATAATTCTATAGTAAACAAGAGCTGTTGGTAGGACAGCAACGCTCGACTATTCTTAGTGCTTGATAGTAAAAAAAAAAATGCTTGATACAATTACCATCTCCTGTTTACAGGTTGGGGTAATGATGGTGAACAAGTGTGCAAAGTTTCAAAGCCATATGTCAATGGACTTTGAAAATATTTGAACTATTACAAAAACTTTAACGTAAATTCTAAGTCGAAAAAGGGGCATAATTTTGTCAAAATGCTTGATACAGTTACCTCCTCCTGTTTACAGATTGGGGTCATGATGGTGAACAAGTGTGCAAAGTTTCAAAGCCATATGTCAATGGACTTTGAAAATATTTGAACTATTACAAAAACTTTAACGTAAATTCTAAGTCGAAAAAGGGGCATAATTCTGTCAAAATGCTTGATACAGTTACCTCCTCCTGTCTACAGGTTGGGGTCATGATGGTGAACAAGTGTGCAAAGTTTCAAAGCCATATGTCAATGGACTTTGAAAATATTTGAACTATTACAAAAACTTTAACATAAGTGGTTACGCCGACGCCGACGCTCGGGTGACTACAATAGCTCTACCTATTCTTATCGAATAGTCGAGCTAAAAATTATATATGTTTGGTCCGATTTTAAGTCGCACCCAAATGGCGACTTTCCAGTTTAACTAGTGGTTGAAGATCTCAGGTGCTCCTCTAGGCACGGAAGTGCTCCAAAATAGATCCCGAAGCATAATTATATAACATATGAAATCTGTATATAATTATGTACGGTTAGAAATTATTGTTAGGTAAATGCGTATTCCAATGAAATATTTAGACATATGTATGCCTATAAATTATTAAACATTTATTGGTTTATCTTGTAACGCTTAAATAACATTACAAGCTAAATACATGTCGAACAAGATCATTTATGTTTTAATATCATGATGTTATGTGTCCTTTTGCTTTTATAGGAGGTTTTATTTGCACATGTATACATTTAACATACAGCCAAATCGTTAATATGATAGTACATTTATTACGTGTAAACAGTCTGACATTTTTGAGGTTAATATGTTTTGGCTGGCATGTCAAAAGATGCCTAAAGGAAATAACATGTTTTGAATCATAAATTTTTTTTTCTGGCGGAGTGGAAGTCACTGCTTTACGGTAAAACCTCTTATAAAGTCCATTTGTGCTATTATTTGGAAATGATTTCATTGAATGAACAATTTGATCAAATAAATGTCATTTACAGAGGCAAAACAAAGATAGATGTTGACATTTACACAGGATAAATGAAGAATGAACAAACATAATAATAAAGTGAGGCGTTGCATTTGAATTTTATTTTATTGTTGATTTATTTCATACGAAAAGATTGTATATTTCAGACAATAATAGTGTAATAATAACATGTTTTATAGAACATATTTGCAACATATGTCAATGTCTTCATATATTATAAATGTTAAAAGGCATACAATGTATGTTTTAATATGTGATACATTACTTTAATTACATTGAATTTGAAAATAAAATCACTTAATCACTAAATCGACAAAAAGTTACACGCAGCTTATATAACAATATCATAATATGTCGTTGACAGACACAACCGTAAAGAAAAAGTTTGATTGACTTTTGTTTTATATCATTTTTTGGTTTATACAGAATTTATTATGCCCCCACTTCAAAGAAGAGGGGGTATATTGCTTTGCATTTGTCGGTCCGTCGGTCCGTTGGTCCGTCGGTCCGTAGACCAAATGGTTTCCGAGTGATAACTAAAGAACCCTTAGGCCTAGGAACTTCAAACTTGGTATGGTGATTGGTCATGACCAGTAGATGACCCCTATTGATTTTTGGGTCAAGGGGTCAAAGGTCAAGGTCACATTGACCTTGTAGGTAAAAACGGTTTCCGATCAATAACTAAAGAACGCTTAGGCCTAGGAACTTCAAACTTGGTATGGTGATTGGTCATGACCAGTAGATGACCCCTATTGATTTTGGGGTCAAGGGGTCAAAGGTCAAGGTCACATTGACCTTGTAGGTAAAAACGGTTTCCGATCAATAACTAAAGAACGCTTAGGCCTAGGAACTTCAAACTTGGTATGGTGATTGGTCATGACCAGTAGATGACCCCTATTGATTATGGGGTTAAGGGGTCAAAGGTCAAGGTCACATTGACCTTGTAGGTAAAAATGGTTTCTGATCAATAACTAAAGAACGCTTAGGCCTAGGAACTTCAAACTTGGTATGGTGATTGGTCATGACCAGTAGATGACCCCTATTGATTATTGGGTCAAGGGTTCAAAGGTCAAGGTCACATTGACCTTGTAGGTAAAAATGATTTCTGATCAACAACTTAAGACTCTTAGGCCAAGGAACTTCAAACTTGGTATCATGATTGGTCATGACCTGTAGATGGCCCTATTAATTTTGGGGCCGAAGGTCAAGGTCACATTGACCTTGTAGGTAAAAATGATTTCTGATCAATAACTTAAGACTCTTAGGCCTAGGAACTTCAAACTTGGTATCATGATTGGTCATGACCAGCAGATGAACCCTATTGATTTCGAGGTCAAGGGGTCAAAGGTCAAGGTCACATTTACTTGAAGTTAAAAACGGTTTCCACTCTATACCTAAAGGACGCTTAGGCCTAGGAACTTCAAACTTGGTATGATGATTGGTCATGACCATAAGATGACCCCTATTGATTTTGGGGTCAAATGTCAAGGTCACATTGACCTTGTAAGTAAAAGTGGTTTCCGATCAATAACTAGAGAACGCTTAGGTCTAGGAACTTCAAACTTTATATGATGATTGGAAATGACCAGTAGATGACCCCTATTAATTATGGGGTCAAAGGTCAAGGTCACATTTACCTTGTAAGTAAAAACGGTTTTCGATCAATAACTAAAGAACACTTAGGCCTAGGAACTTCAAACTTTATATGATGATTGGTCATGACCAGTAGATGACCCCTATTGATTTTTGGGTCAAGGGGTCAAAGGTCAGTGTCAAATTGATCTTGTACTTTAAGATGGTTTCTGACCAATAACTCAACAACTCAAGTTGCCTTGGTTGATATTTTTATATTAAACTAAAAATGCTTTTGGTATACACATTTGAAGGTCTTAAGTAATATAACAACTTGGCTGTCATTAATGAGGCCTACATGATTCACAATAATTATTACCTTGTGACTAGTCATCAACAAGTAGATAACCCTTTTTAATTTTTTGTTCACTGGGTCAGAAGTCCTGCATAATAACCTGATCACATGACTAATTGGCTGCCCATAGGGGGCATACATGTTTTACAAACATATCTTGTTTTAATTGGATTGTGTAGGAAGCTTTTTCTTATAGACACACTTTCGAATCCGTCCCTGGAACCAACCAGGACTGAGTAATGAGAGTGCTTAAGGAAACAACGACTTGTCCCTGACAGAGTTTGAACCCATGCGGATAGCTGTCATTAGATTACTAGTCCGACTCGTTAACCATTCGGCCATACCGCCACATATGATTTTTTTGGTGATGCCATATGTAAAATCAGGATCATGCAGTTAGTTTTGGTCAAATATAAACCGGTATATTTGTTGACCAAATATAATTTATTACACACATTTGCTAAAAGCCAGTTTGATACTAATCAATGATTACCCTTTCATCACCTGATACATTGACCATCAAGGATTATAAAATTTCATAACAATATAACAACACGAATGTCAACATCGTTGTTTCATTATGATTTTATCCTATTGGATCTAATTTTATTGACAGGTCTCACCAATGTCGATGTAATAATCAAAAGAAAAATACAGGTCTTTCTCGTAACACTTGCAAAATGTCCTTGCCCAGTATCGTTCACAAATTAAAGCAAGTTATATACTCCTTAACAGAAATCAACGTATTTTACATGTATTATAATTATAATTTTAGAATGCATAGAACGAAGAATCTGTCAAATACTTGACATGATGTATCTATGTCATAACCAGAATTATTTATCATACCATTTGCAATTACATGTAATTCCACATTTGGGTTAGACTTTCTTTGCGGAGAAATTGTGAGACCAGACGTACATTTTTGAAAGAATATAAAACGAAGAACATCTCCAAGCTTTGGTAATTTTTGTATGATTTAGTCATCTTAATTTTAGTTTAGTTTTCAGTTTTTTACTCTCCTGTGCATCAATCGAATGTTCCACTTTCACACAACACTGATGTATTGCAAAATTATCATTATTCGTGGGACACTTATTTTCGTGGTTGTCGTGGATACGTCCACCAAGGAATTCAAGATCCAACGACATTTCATTTCGTCTGCTGTTAGATTATTTTGCATCACATTATTTACATTTTACCTTTTGGAAAAATAGACAGTCGGCGAATTTAAGAACCCCAAAAATGTTCTGTGTGACAAAAAGCCCACGAATAAAGGGAATTCCCGGTATTTACTAAGCAGCTGGGAGCGTAGAAACGGACACTAGCTTACGATTAATGTTTGCGGGCTTTTCGTCGGTTTTCTCGTTCGTCGCCTGTTTCAACAGTCATTCTGTGTTCACAAATGGGTACTCCACATCCGCACAATAACGAACTTGTGAACCCAGTGCATTTATTGCACTCAGCTGAAATGAGTAAAAAAGAGAAAATAAGAATCCCTAAAGAAAGTCCAACACGACATAATTAAAAATGTTGCAGGCTCGGTTTGATTGAGCCTGTTCATAGATGGAACTGTAAAGTTCAAACTACCGCCGACGACCCCTAGCTAGCACCGGCGTAAGCAGAATTTAACATTTAATCATGGTAATGGTAAAAGTTTGAATTTAGAAACATCCGTAGATGTGTTCCAACGGCGGTTATCATTGAACCTTCAATGTGACACTTCCGTGCCATTCCATGAAAAGCGGCGTATGGTCCCCAAGTAATAGAAAGCGTGTGCCCTAAACGAGAAAACAATGGGCGGAACTAAATAAAATGGAATTTTGAAAGGGGATCAGAGGTTATGAAGCCTGCATATCACAGATAAGACGTCAAAAGACAAAGTTAAAAAGCAGGCAACATATCCTTAGGGTGATTCAACATTATTCAAGTAGGAATATTGGAACCACCCAACTAGAAAATTCCGAAAAAGTTAAAACTAAAAATACCACAAGCACAACAATAATGTCGTGCTGAACGATCTTTAAGGATCGGAAATATAACATCTCTGATTGAACTCTACTTTTATCTAAATAATACAAGATATCTGCAGAATGTACAAATTTGACATTGTAAGAAATCGATTTTCAGACTATTGTACGTTTTCCAGACTATATTAGTCATGCGACAGTACTTAAAATTAAAATAGTCTACACCGACAATTTCTTCTTGTAACAGTGATAAATTATGACCGACAACTTAGATGTACATTATTAAATAATGATGTAACATGACTATCAATCATATAATAATGTTTAAAAGTAAGTGCTTTAATTTTTTTAAATCCCAATTATTAAGATACTTAAATAATAAATGTTTTTTTTTTGCATTCACTTAGAACTGTGAATAAAGTACCGTGTACGAAACCTCGCAAGCAATTTACTTGAATATTACCTCTTTTACAAACAAAGTTTCCAAATTCTTCATGTTCTTCTGGGGCGTGTTTACAATGACACTTTATGGCTGAACAGCACTTTGCCGGTACATAGTAATAACTGGCACATTTACAACCAGGGGCACGGCAAGGCAATCTAATTGGACGTTCTTTCGGAATAAATTCAAAGTCGGTCTTGTGATCCTTATATCTAAAAATTATAATTAAACTGTGTAAAATAAAAGGTTTTCTTGCATTTTGTATTTATAATAGACACGTGTAATTCTTCTTTAGCGTATCCTTTTCAACGATTTTGAAAGTAATTCTTTTTATAAATATATACAAACATTTTATAGAATGTGAATGATTAGACTGAATGATTTTGTATAAATTTTTATATTAATAAAAAATACCAAGATAATTTCTTACACATGCTGACAAAAGCACTGTGTCCCTGGTTCCATTGTTCTACAATCTCTGCCAGTAGTGCTGGTATAACTGGTGTATATACCATTACTTTTATATAGTTGACTCGTCATCTTCTAAAACATGAAAAATATAATATTACGATATACACAATATAAAAAACAACAAACAGTGGCATAATACAATTAAAGTGGCCTTCAACTTTTCCAAAGGCTAGATACGTTATTTTTAAATAAATCATTTCATACAATTGTAAAATCAAAAGAACGAAACAGTACGCTAATGCTCACTGCTACTGCTAACTTCCTACCCGTCTCGATACCTCTAATCTACTGGTCCACTCTCTATATCTAAATTAGTAAAGCGGACGATTTGTTTCCTGATTTTCTCTTTTTAAAAACGAGCGTCACTTACACGTTATAAGTAGCTCTCGGGACGCCGGTTTGAATACGGTTTAAAAATGAGCCGCGTCACGACAAAACCAACATAGTGGGTTTGCGACCAGCATGGATCCAGACCAGCCTGCGCCAACGCGCAGTCTGATCAGGATCCATGCTGTCCGCTTACAAACCCTATAACAAGTAGAGAAACTGATAGCGAACAGCATGGATCCTGATCAGACTGCGCGGAGGCGCAGGCTGGTCTGGATCCATGCTGGTCGCAAACCCACTATGTTGGTTTTGTCGTGACGCGGATCATATTTAGTTTTTAACAACACAGAATTGTCTTTTCAATAGATCATAAAAACGGAAGGTCACTTTAAAATCTCTATACTGATTATGACTCTCGAACTTTTATTGTGTATATAAGATGCCATAATTTCTACATACCTTATTAAACCCAGTAATGATTGATATGTACAGGTTTAGTGTTCATTTGAAATTAGATTACAAAATTAAATTGGTCAGTTTAATTTGGTAAATACTAACTAATGAACACTGACCGATTTAGTGTTTGAAATCATTTCTATGAACAGTCGATCTACAAGACTGATTAATAGTTTTAGCTAAGAAAAATTGTTACGATACATTTGAAACGTTAATCGTACTTGACAAAGAAAAATAAAAAAGCTAAGTCTCTTTGAATCACTATGATTGTTTTTGTGAGTATTATATATCCTGTTAAAGAAGAAAAAATATATATCAAACAGTTACCTTGTTGTAGTTATCAAACTTCCCACGCGTTTAAATCAGTACGATTTTACTACTGGCTTACTTTAGATATAGATCGATACGAGCGAATTGGAAACGCGTCATAAATGGTCTATTTATAGTACTAAATGTAATACAACAATCCATATATAACTTTACCCTACGAGACTTAACCCATCTCAGATATTGAAACATTCTTACCGAAAGACAGAAATAAGAATAGATGCATTTTTTCTTATCTTTTTCTATCTCTAATTAAAAGATTCTAAAATGCAAATTGAAGGAAAGAAATACATGAAAGAATATGCAAGAATTGGCATTTCTTAATCAAAGATTTAAAGATTTAGTTTTTTAACCGCAGATAAAACACTTGATCTGCAAGTATGTTATATGTTGTCCCGGAGAAATTTTGAATATCGAGTTTCAGTTGAAAACGTTAATGGTACTACATGAGACTTAATTCGTCCGGATTTTTAAACTTTATTGGTTTACAAGCAGATTTAGCTTTACTAAGATATAAATTATACAAAGACAGTGTTAGTATTTTAAATAAGTAGGCATACAACCTGCATTATAAATTATGTTGTTATTTTTTTTTAGTTTTTTTAGTTTTTAATTCTTACATGTATTTCTCAAACTAGACATTTTTACAACTATTGCATTTTTGCCCACGACCCATTCATAAAAATAATAAGATAAGATAAGATAAGATAATATAAGTAAATTTTATTATAGTGACATTGTGTTATGTACATACATAATAACGATACCTTTTTATTTTTACAACACCCGGCCACGTTGGGCCTACAAGTTACTTAATTTTTTAATCATTTTCAAAAATATATAATTTATAACATAATTTAGATATTAACTAATTATATACATGCACGAACAAATAGTGATTTAAATGTTCTTGGACATAAAAACATCTGCATTATAAGAGAAATAGGACGTATACAAGTTTACTTTTTTCCAATTACTTTCGGTATCAAATCACATATATGATACATATACAGTTGTCATTCATGTACATATCATTAGTGCAAATACATTTACAACATTAATTAATTAATTAATTTCTGTACAGAGACATCCTTCTTCTGTTCATAGCTTCAACTAAAAATTTAGCAACATGCACATAATGATAATTGACAGCATATACTAACTTATTTACTTCAGACATATGTTCAAAATCAGGATTTCTATCTTTACATTTTGATAAAAGGTTCTATCGTAAGTCATTATATTTAATGCAGTTTAAAAGAAAATGAGTCTCATCTTCTACAACATTAACTGGACAAAAGTGACAAAATCTTTCGTTTACATTTAAACCGACATATCTTCCCGTTTCTATCTTTAATGGAAGTATACCACATCGGAATTGGGCTAAATGAGACCGTTCAATCTTAGTTAATGACGAAAGCAAATACTTTTCAGTATTATAATGTTGTTTAAATTCAATTATATGTTCTAAGTTTGGCAACATTTCTAACATTATTACACCAATCCGTTTTATATTTAACAAACAATGCATCTTCAACATCTTTTAGGTTTACAGGTAACTTGTTTTCATAGTAATGTGACATTTGAATCTGTTGCAATATAGTTTTTACATCATAGCACCATGTTTGAGTAAAATCTAAGTGCTCATGTAAATTAACACCCAAATATTTATACATATCCGTAAACAATACAAAACAATCGCCTATTCTAAATTGAAAATTACTTCTATTTTTACCCTTATTTCTGAAATGCACAACCTTTGACTTTTCATTATTAATAATACGTCGCCATTTCCGACACCATTCATGAACATAATCTAACATGTCTTGCATATCTTGTTCATTTCTCAGACAACAATAAAATGTCATCAGCATAAAACAAACAACAAAAGTATATCATTATTAAACTGTACACCCTTGTTAAGAGTCTTTAAACCTTCAGCTAGATCGTTTATGAAGTAGGCAAAGATTGTTGGCGATCCGCTGTCTCCTTGCTTTACGCCAGACAGAGTCGGGAACCAGTCAGTTAACATACCCTTTAACTTAACACAAGACGATGTATCCGTCAAAATGGCCTTTATTGAGTTATAAAATTTTCCATTTATACTATTAGACAAAAGTTTATACAAAAGAACATCCCTATTGACAAAGTCAAATGCCTTTTTTATATCAATAAAAGTTCCAAATGTATCAAGATTACTTAAAAGTCTATTTCTAATAATAGTACATGAGGTATAAACATGGTCCTCACACGACCGTTTCGAACGAAATCCGTTCTGCTCATCAACAAGTAACTCTTGATCTTCTAAATGTTTCTTTAGTCTATTATTTAACACAGCTGAATATAATTTGCTAACCACCGAGAGTAAACTTATTCCTCTGTAATTCAAGGGTATACGTTTATCTTAAGTAATATCTTTTGTTATAGGGGCAATCATTGCTTTTCGCCATATACTTGGTATAATACCCGTATCAAAACACAAGCAAAAAAGTGAATGGAGTACATCTATTATGATTGGAAATTTTAACACTTCGCATGGAATTTTATCAAATCCCGTGCTTTTACAATTTTTGGCGGCTTTTACAACAATTTCAATTTCATAACGATTCAATGGCAAATAAAGAGCAGGATTATCTTCGAATAAGGGGTCGAGCATCTGATTTTCCATAAAACGTTTTTCTCTGAGAATTTCCTCATAAAACTGGTTATCAAAATGATCACAATTTTTATTTACATTATATAGATCTTTAAAATCCCCAGACCATTTTTTAAACACAAATTCACTATCGTGAATGATATCTCCGTTATCATCATACACTTCAAGAGGTGTCGAAGGTTTCCGTTTCGGACCAAGATTTTTAATATGATCCCAGAATGCTCTAGGGTCATTTGTGCAAGTACTCTCAATGTCGATCGAAAGATTTCGCTTGTAGGCTCGTTCAGCGCGTCGTAACTGTTTATCGAACAGACGTCTTGTCTCTGTGAATTCACTTTGCAATCGTAGTCACGTCCGTCTATCACCATGGAAACGCATGAAATTCCGCTCTGAGATGCATACGGCCTGCCACAGTTGCTCAATATCGTCGTCCCAGTAAGGCTTAAACGATTTGTAGCGTTTACGGGTTTTCTTTGAACAGTCAAATGACGGTATATGTTCATTCATTTCTTTTACTAAAGTATTACAAAATTGATCATAAATCAAATCAATATTGTGTTGATTTTCCCTACATAATTCAATATTACGTATCAAATTGCGAAATGCTGTTTTGGCCAAATTTGAAGACAAAAGTCATCTGGAATTCGTTTTAACTTGTATATCCGTGTATTAAATGGTGGTCGTGACTGCTGATTCGCGGGATTGTTAGTCTCGTCTGTTATAGCGGTACTATAATTATTTGTAAATCGTAAAATGTAGTGATCCGGTAATTTACTACGCTCTCCGATTAGACTCTTAAGATTATGCTTATCAAGAATCGATGCAGGGGAAATAACTTCAAAATTATAACAAGCATTAAAGCAGTCATGTGGAACACAAACGTAGTCAACAACAGATTTTCCGCGAACTGAACCTGACGTAAAAGTGTTTCTATCTTCATTAAACGGCCTTTTAAAACACACATCTTTGAGGCAATCAGAAAATCTACAAACGTCTGTCCATGCTGATTAACACTCTTGTCAATACACTTTCTCAATGGTATACCGTCAATGTCCGACATTATGTCCTGAAGTTCGCCGATCCTTGAATTATTATCCCCAATAACGAAAATAGCTTCACAATCAGATAAAAGATAAATTTGTCCCAGCAAATGAGCGTAAAAGTCTGTTCAGTCCCCATGGTGAGTTTTCCGGTGGTAAGTATACGGAGTAGACGATAATTTTATAATTTGTAGATTTTGCTGTGAACGAGAGTCCCAATATTCCATCATATGATTTGTCAATAACATCAACACGAAAATCATCAAACAAACAGTTTTTCACGAAAATTCCGACACCCCCTGAGCCTTTGGGTGCATTAACATGAGTTAACATTCTGTTATGTGAATAAAATCGGTAGCCTTCAAGAGCAATAGTTTGTGTGGCTTTTAAATGAGTTTCATTTACACAAATTATGTCAGATTTCATATGCAATAAGATTTGTGATCGAAGTTAATGATTTGATTCAGTCCAACCAGCAACATTTAAATGAGATACAGATATGGAATGTTCGATAAGCCGGGCGTTGGCTTATACCGGTGTAGCGGGTCCTCTTGATATGGGAACGCCATCGGCAGAAGCAGGCGTTTTCTTAACGATGCGTCCATTTCCAGTTACTCGGAATTGATTACCATTTGGTAATTCCGACAGTAAAGTTTTTGCATTCAGCTCAAGTATACGTTCGGTGTGAGTTTTACTTCCGTATACATACACACGCTTATATTCCGGCTTCGACAATAATCTCTTCTTTGAACGGAGTACCTCGATCTTTTGCTTGAGATTGTCAAAAGCAGTTTTCAATAACGGGGGTTTACCGGTATTCCTGTCTGAGCATCGACTCGCATCGGTAATTTTCACTTTGCTTGATATATCACTACCGAGAGCAGAGATCAAATCTTTTGTGCGTCGTCTAACGGTTGTTTTCCTGGGCGCAACGGTAAATTAGTAGCAATTACCATGAGCTCACAGTTATTGACCGTTTTATCTTGCTTCAAGCCAGAAATAGATTTCAGTGAATTCAGCAAAGTCAGCAAATCTTTTGTCCCAACAGGCAAATTGTAGGTCAAAATCAACTTTCACTGCTTTTATTTTATCATCAATTGTTGCTAATACGTCCTTCCTCAATTTATCAATTTTGCTATCAAATGTCTTCTGGAGACTCTCTTGCCCCTTTTTTAAAACAGCAAGTACTTCCATGATTTTATCAAAACGTTCATTTCACTGCAATCTTCACTATCAGCCATTTTTGATTGTTTGTATAGGGGACTTATCCCACCCGGAGATTCTCTTGCTCTTTTTTTCTCTAAATTTGAACGAGTTTCACTCATTATATTTCATATAAAAATAATATGTCAGTTGGTTTGTTTACTAAATGGCCCGACTAGCCCTTCACAGTTTTCTTTATGACACATTTTCTAGAAGAAATCGGCCATGAAATGTTAAAATGATCACAAGCAATTATCATTTCAACACGATTGAACTGTATATATTATTTCAGCTAACTAGGTGTTAGGACAATTCGTTACAAAGTTTATGTTGACAATGTAAGGACGAAATACACACACATTAATACGTCACCGTTAACAACTTTTGATCTTGAATTGCTAAAAAGACGAATTCATCAACATAAATAACATAAACATATTCATCCAGGCAAAAAAATGAGATTGTTTCATTGAGAATAAAGACATATTGATATATATTCAACAAACAACATACATTTCTCCTTTTAAATACTATACGTATATATTTATAAGATTTTATTTATAAATATTCCTTAGACAAAACAATGAATTGAATATTTTCATGCTTAAAGTGGGTTGATCTGGAATGGGCATATTTTCATTTGTATTTCAAATTATTGACAAAAGATAATAGAAGTGTATCATTTAAATACTCTTATAAATTTAAACATTTGTTAAAAACAACAATGGCAATGTTGTTCCTAGTGATTTAGTATGTTTTTATATGTAGGATAGTAATAATGTGTTGCAGAACAATTCTATTATAAACTACATTGTATATTTATATATTTGTAATGTCGGATCATTAATTTCACACTTAATAAAATATCCATATATATCTTTCTTTCATGGCTTGTTGTCACCAAAGATACTTAATATATTTTAGATATATATTTATGACATTGCAGACATTCCGATATGGACACATTCGCTTTAAGCTTTATAATGATAAAATATTTCTGTTTGCAATAATGTAACATCAAAGGTATAAGCGAGGCAGAAATTCATTAGCTTTGGACATATTAAATGTACTGTGAAAGAGGTACCTAATTGTCAGAAGACAAATCATACGCTTTAGTATAGTTCATAAACGAACATATTAACAATTGACAGAATCATAAATGGTTAAACTAATATTGCATTGTATCATAGTTTGGGGACCTTCCTGTTGAAAATGTGTCAGAGTTAAATCATATACATATACATGCACAGTGCGTTAACTTGAGTGCAGGTATTAGGTACCCGCGCTCTAGAGCATGCCCATTCATTGGTTCATTTTGTCTGGGGTTTACATATTGTGACGACAGAGAAAGGGATAGCGATAGAAATATTATAGTCAGATGCTCGTTCATTGGTTACTTTGTCCTGGGGTTTTATATTGTGACATCAGGAAACGTGTTTTATTTTTGTCTATGATACAAAAGAGGAAGAACATCAAAACACTCGGCAATCCTGATTTATACTCGGGGGCTACGCCCCCTCGTACAAATCAGATAGCCTCGTGTTTCGATGCTCTTTCTATTACATAACTAATGAGGGGCTGCTATTTTATATGTTTAACTGATAACCACACTAGCGTCACTTTTACACACTCTTCATGGTCAAATCATTTACTGAAAAAATGAACGAATTTAGAAAAGCTTTACTTTTGTGTCTAAACGGAACGTTTAAAAGGTGTTTTGAGGATGATATTTATAAAAGCGGTTAATATTGTAAAACACTGACAAAAACTTAAGACATGATATCGTGATAGTTTTAATGTAGTAAACCACCATTAACAGGATATGATGAGAAATAAAATGAAATATTTCCTCATTGGCCTTTTCAGTTAAAACAACAGTTTCTCATTTTCTGAATCAAATAAACTTTTAATTAAAAATAAAAAGAATTAATCATGTTTACATATGTAAGCCCGACAATAACATGTTTTAGTAAGGTCTTATTTCAATTCTGAGAATATATATTTAAAAATAATAAATTAAGTGTAAAACTATACAAAAACAAGCACAACAATATCGACACCACGAGAAAAGAACACTAGCAGTAATGACCACATTGTACATCGCACTGTTAAGAAACAACACGTCACTATTGGCCATTTCCTCCACGCCTTGTTTCACGCTCATCACCTGTTTCAATAGTCATTTTATGGTTATTAACGGGTACACCACATCCGCAAATGAATGAGCTAGAAAATCCAGTACAGCTAGTACATCCAGCTGAAAGAGATGGATCAACTTATAACACTTGACAAATGATAACATTTTAGCCATTGGGATATAAATCATTTTATCGTAATTTCTATTATTTTATTTTATTTAAATTATCCAATAAAAGTATAAGTTATATATACAGTATATACATAAAGTGATCGATAAACATCCATCTGTTATGGAAGTTCCTGTAATTCTCAGACATTTTCTTTGCAATTGCATTGTTATTATAAAATTAAAGTTCCTACAGAAAGGGCTAAGCCGATTGGAATATACATTTGAGTTATACACATATATAATATGCACTGTATATAGACTTACCAACCGAAAGTGATAAGCCTTTGTCACCAGTATAGCGCCACGCCAGTCTTAACTTCATTGAAGTATGCAACGGTTAGCTTTAATTTATACTGAAATGCCGTTAACCTTTTCAACAACACGTAAAAATATTCATTACCTCTTTTACAAATATATTTTCCGAATTCTGAATGTTCGTCGGGAGTGTGTTTACAATGACAGCGTATTGGCGAGCAGCAGTTGAGAGGAGGTACGAAGTGAAAGCTGGCACATTTACAACCAGAGACCCGGCATGGTAACTTTATTGGGCGTTCTTTAGGGACCTCCTCAAAATTAACCTTGTGGTTCTTGTAACTACATATAATATAGATACAATTGATGAAACGACGGAAAGTTAGTATATATAACGTAAAATATGTTGTAGCGTAAACTTCCCTTTCGTGACAATTAAAGCAATAAAATGTTATTTTGAAAATGAAAGAATGCATATTCAGTCTCGAATCATTTCTTCGGCAAGTCTAAAAAGCATAATTAGAGGTAATGATTTAAACTACGAAAGACATATCTGAACTCAATAGAAATGTTAAAAATAATGAGTAGATAAAAAAACCAGATTGTTTCAGAATTCAAAAATACAGATCCGAAGTATTATTACCCATGTTGACAGAAACACAATGTTTCTGGTTCCATTGTTCTACAATCTCTGCCAGTAGTGCTGGTATAACTGGTGTATATACCATTACTTTTATATAGTTGACTCGTCATCGTTTAATCTTAAATCTCAATACAGTAGACCTTTATTTAAACATAATACTTAATAAACATATACATGTACACAGATATACACAGAAAGTAAATACATTTTAATACAATTAAGATTTCTAATGGCAAAGTCAGTAAATATTACCTAACAATTTTTATTCTTTGCGAATTATCATTCTAGATATCAGATAAATTCATCAGATAGTATCTTCACATTAATAAAGAAACAACAATTGCGCGATTTTTAAATGCAGTTTTAAGTATTGTATCAATGCAAAAAAAAATTAGTAAGTTAATAGTCTTATTTAACAGGTAATACACATTTTTATGATATGTTTTCATAGGCAATATATTTAATATAATAAAATAGATCACTTATAAATTTATAATCATTATTTTGAAAGCTCAAAAACTCACCGATAAATGTTATCAAAATATTTCTTTAAGTAATATATCATGGGAAATAATGTTTATAATACTAGTAATCTATTTTGCTTTATAAAGTATAATACGCAACGTTTAACTATTGTACTATCCAATAAATAGCGTACGGAATTATTTAACCTTTCGATTTAAATTATTATAATGTCAAGTTAAAAGTTTCAATCTATATATAGGGTATTTATTATGACTTTTTCAAAGGTAGTATTATACGTATTAAAAATAGGCTATACACAGGAAAATAAACTTTACTGCCAATTAGTGTATTCTATATATGTATTTACAAGTCCAAAATTATAGTTTATAGAAATTTCATTAATCTTTGCATTCATAAAAATAATTTGTATTAAAATTGAATTATTTATTATACTTATGCTATGCTATTAAAAAAAAAATTAAAGGGACGCTTATTTCAATGTCTAATTGGCATTTCATTTTGAACATTTGTAATGAATTACCAAAATGCAATTTCATACTTATTTACACATATTAAAACACACCTTTCCACACAAATGTAATATAGAGGAGTTTATTTACGTTATGTGATGTGTTGCATAACCACATGTCTTATCATAATTTACTACAAGTGTACTCATCTTTTACTAAGCACCATATGTTTGAGTGTAATATTTTTGGGGATAATTTTATAAACGCCGTGCGAAAGGTTTTAAATGTTGATTTTCTGTTTAACAATTCAGCTGAAGGACGAATTTAACCGTATAAATGAGTTTTAAAGTGATTTTGTGCAAGGGAAGAGGATGACCCCCTCTTTAAAGATTTCAGAACTTACAGCGTGCTATCAACAACATGTACGACATGCCTGAACGACCAAAAACAGATCATTTGCCGACCTCCAGCCGACTCCTGGCGGGTGTACCATGTAGCCGGTATCTCTCCCAGGCTCTGGTGATGACGGTGTATTGTACACCAAGCGTTGAACCAACCTGGCCCCCTGCTGCACCATCCCTACAGCCCATCATAACTCTGCTTCTTATGTTAGCATTCGCCATATCGAGTAAAACAAAAGACTCCATCAAAACATGAAAATATTAGGGTGCATGCGTTCCATGTTACCTAAACGAGTTGTAACGGGTTAGTCAACACGGATTCATGTCAGGGGACTATCTGAAAACATTGCTGAATCAGAATTTTCAAAAATTGGAGAGAAATATGTTTTATACTTGTGATGATAAAAAATCAACTTATGGTGCTTAGTAGTTGAGTAGTATTTAACGTAATCCTTATTAGTTCCACTAAAAGATTAATATACATATAACCAATTAACATTTTGATTATAATTTATCTTCACATAACGCAACTTTAGTTTTACTAGTGTTTAAAAGTTATGACCCAAAAAACGACACGCAATTGTCATTCTTAGCGAATATAAATATGTATAGCGGTCTTTGGTAAACAGTATTTCTTTTATTGATTACGCCGATGCTTGTAAAAGGCGTGGTTAAACGATGCAGTCTCAGAACGAAATCATTAAAACCGCACCAATTTTACCGTTTTGTCTCCACTTGGTGTCTAAACAGCTACAGCTTCAGTATGTGAACGATTTTTCTCCAAGTAAATTGTGGTTCTTTTTGTCAGAATATCTGAATAAATGCCCATCTATCAACAATTTAAACAGTTTTAGGACGATATAAATGTTAATAAAATAAAAAAAACCAACAACAATTGTTAAATTCTCAGCATAATTTATTGGACATTTACAAAACAAAACGATAGGTTGAAAACTTTGTGAGGTTGATCCTTGTGAACACTTGAACTGCAACAACATAAAGAAGGGATAAATATATTCCCCAGTACATATATGTGATATCAATGTTAGAAAACGTCGTCTTTGCTCTAATCTTAGAACTATTCAGTAAAAGGGTATGATTTAACTGTTTAGCACTGACATAAGTGTATGTATATAGTTAAAATGATGGACCGAAGGGCAACTTTGAACTTCATTTACCAAGTATAGAGTCAATATAATTACAATAAAACAAATCAAATCATTAATATCCTAACTGTTAAGTATTATATACCTATTGACAAAAGTTTTCGTTGAGTCTTGCAAATGATTCGTTGAAGTATAGAAAATGTTGTTCGTTTCTAAACTGCTGTTTCCTATTGTCTCTATGAGAATTATGGGCATGCCATGTTATCACGAAGAGTACATACCTGATTATTTAGAGAGATAAGATGAACCATGTCCAGCACTAAATCAAAGTTTCATATCACGTAGTTCTAACTGAAATGACACCTCGTTTCCTAAAAGAAAATGTTTGAATTAAATATTTCACTGTGACAAATTTGTGTAATTCCTCGAAAAAGCATTGTATGGCACTTAATTTGACTAATAACATATGACGGAATAAACTAATGCACACTTCTAGGCCGCCAATCTTAATAGTATATGTTTATTCTTAGAATGTTATAAAGTAAGAGTATAAGTACCATTAAGGTCAAATCTTATAACTCGTAGATCTTATATAATTATGATAAATAGAAATTAATACTTCGATTTGTGTAACATATATGCACAATACATTATTAATTCGAGATATGTTTTTTTTTTAGAAAAAAAACAAAACAAAACAAAAGAACAAGCAAGCAGTGACTGCTAAGAAGTATGCATCGGTACACGTATGTTGTCCGATTCCAGATAAATAAAAAATGAACTAAAGTATTTTTTATAAATGTGAACACCTTGCAGTTCTATGATTTTTTTGTAGTCACAGCATTAACTTTTAACTATCAAAGAAATTATATATTCTAATTACATGTACTTATCGCATGTTTTGGAATTTTTATTTTTTCTATCTAACCCATTAAATTGAGTACAATTTTAACGGGGATTTGAAAACTGTATTGATAAATAACAGTGCTGTTTTTTCTTGATTCATGTAGGAGAACAGCCATTCATTTATTTATTCTTTTTTTACTCATTTATTACACTAATGCAATTTAAGTGTTTTTTTTATATCCCTCTAAGGTATAAAAATTTTAATAATTGATTAATTTCAGAATAATAGACACATTCAAAAGAATTCATTCAGTGCAAGTATTTTGGTAAAATAACATTGAAGGTTGTAAAGAAACAAAATGAATAAACGGTCTTTTTAAACGTTGCTTAGACACGAAAACATGTAATACAATACACATGGGTACTATTAATGCAATACATATGAACCCCTGTAGTGTTATACACTTAATAATCTATAATACAATACATGAACACATCTATCACAATGGACACATGTAATAAGATAAGATGAGCTCGTGCAATACACTACACATAAGAACCTTTAAAACAAATATGAACATCTTTATTGTAAAGCACATAAATAAATGTAATAAATACCGTTTAGCACATGCAATTACTACACATGATCACATGTAATGCAATACATATGAATATTTGTAATACAATACACATAATCATTAGTTATGCAATAAAAATGAGTAATTGTATCACGGAACACATGCACACATGTAATGCAATACATATAGACACCTACAGCAAAAATACGCATACCTTAGAATGAAAATATAAGAAAATTATACCTTCGAACCATATCACATAAACAAAAGTTATTGTGTTGACAAGTTCCAGACATTCCAAAGCCACAGCTACAACGTGATCCACGTTCTTTACCAAAGCAATCTGTAACCCTTGCATCCATCAACGAAACACCTATAATAATAAAACATTTTACGGAGTAATAAGACTTTTAATACTACAGAAAATAAATATTGTTTCGTGAATAAGGGGTGGAGCTATATTAAAGTGAATAATTATTTTATCTTTATTGTAAATGTCATGTTATGTGATTTAGCTGTTAAAGTAGATGAAGAAAGACAAAACATATCAAGTCAGTCATTATTATTGGTGCCCATGATCTCCTTCGAAGAAGAACTATCAATTCGTAAGCGTCATTTATAGGTTATTTCAGAATACACCTTATCAAAGTTATCAAAGAATTAACAAGTGTCCATTTCAAACAAACATGCGTTTTTGTGAAAATGTTCAACAAACATATGAATAATGACAGCTGAAACATATATAAATTTTAAAGTTCCATGAATTAACTTCGAACTAGATTATGTAATTGCAAATAAATTGGTTTTAAGTAATTTATTTTTAAAACACATTTATGAAATGTTGAATACTTACATAATATGACGAAGCAAGCCAATAATAAAAGCTTCATTTCTGATAAAACTGATTTCACGGTTGGTAAAATTTGGTCCTTGTGTCTCGGTTGTTCAGAATTTCACACGGTTTTGCGAAAATCACCACACAATGACAATGTTTTGTATCGTATGAACGTGCTCAATATGTTTAAATATCTAGCAGTTGTATTATATACAGAACATGTTCTAGCTACTAGATAGGACATGGGTTCTTAATTTGAATATCCTCTAATATATATAGAAAAGAAACATCCGGGAATGCATATGGTAATAAAAGATAGCGTGTTGTTTCAATTTGTAACCACATTTGATAATTAACAAACTAACAATAAGAAAACAACATACAAGGTACATAGAACAGAGACAATTATTTTATGGCACATATTCCATCGCACAACTGATATTCAGAACCATTGTTATTTGAAAGAGGCGAAAACCTGATATTATGTTTCTGTTGTCATCAGTCAACGCAAGATATGAAAACAAAGTTCAACAAGGAAGGGTTGCATTCAATGCACGCATACAACTTTTCATGTCTTGTTACAGTTAACATGGGTCAAACAGCAACTTCCGTCTCCAAGAAAGCAGCGTTCTTGAGGATAAAGTGCAACAGGTTTCCACTGTCTTTACGTTAAAATAGACACTGACTCCATCTTTCATTGAGATAACTACATTTACCTCTGTTTTATTTCTCATTATTTAAGGCTTATATTTTTACGCAACATGTTCTATCATGTATAAAATAAGAACTAATAAAAACAGTATACAAAATAGTCTTCTATTAACGTTGAAAGTCTTAGATAACGTTTCATGGAAAGATAAACTTAATTATCTGTGGACAATTCTACCGGATGCATAAAATTAAGACAAGTGCTAAACAAACAGAACAAGGGAAGCCACCTCAAAATAAATTTTTGACATTATTGCAAGAGTTTTAACACACAAACACACAGGCACGCACTCACGTACGCACTCATTCAGACGTGTAGAAATATTAATTTAAATTAGATAATTCCGTATTTACGTTTGATCGAACAATTGACTGTAAACGGATAGAAATTACATGTACTCGTCAAAGTTTCTTAAACTGTTAAATGTACCAAAACGAGGTAAGCAATATTGTTTCTGGATACATTTTGTCGGCAGCGGTTTGTTTTGAAGTTGTGAAACGGAGATGCTACCAAACCAAACAACAACTCTCCTCCCACCCCCATAAAAACACACCAAAAAAAAAAAAAAAAAAAAAAAACAAAAACAAAACAACAACACTAAACAACCAATGTGAAATACTGTGACAAACCATAAACACAGAAGCTGATGTTCAGATATGTAAAATAATAAAAGTAATAGAAAGAGCATCGATGATTTTTTGTACGAGGGAGCGTATCGTAGGCACGAAGTTTACCTCTATGATGTCCGATATTTAAAACCATTAGATACTTTATTCTAAATATAAGTCATTATCATTTATCTCATCACAAAAACGACAAAAGGAAAGATTTGTCTATTACGTGTATTTATTTCTTAAGGTTTGGCGATATTTTTGTCAATGGCTGTTAATCAAGAATATAAGGCATTTTGTTACAAAGTTCCATGTATGTCCCGATATCGGTCACATACGTTATGATAGATTATGCCATAAAGATTATTGAAGTAAGTACAGTAACAATGCTACAAGACACCAATCGCATAAGCTCCGATAACGGTAGCCAATTAATGTTTTTACTTTGTGTCAATGTACAGCAGCTCTGCCTTGTAACCAGATCTTTTTCACCCGCAGAACGTAGGAAAATTCCAGCCATGACGAAATATTTGTACAGTATAGACGTTTCTGAAAATATATAAATTATACGACAGCAAAAGAATTCGGTATTCACATATTAGAGGTGGGAGGGAGAGGATTTTGAAATATTGTGTTCTACATAAAGTTTAATAATGTCCCGTACCTTCTTTAACGCTGGCGAAGTTGAAAAGGCCGGGAGCATGTATGTATGTTAATGCTTAATGAGGGTCCATCCGCCCTTCCGGGCACAAAAAGCAGCTTTCGCTGTCGAGTACGGACCCCGGACATGTCACCAGTCATGCCCTTAAAGTATGTTATAGTTCTAAAATGGTGACCTGTTTGATTGGAATTCAGTAATTCACTGAATGAGCCCAAAGAAAATGCTATTGTTTTTAGATTTATTAATGAAATAATACACGGGAGGCCAATGAGACCATTGTGTGCATTATGTTGTTAAGTGAAAGAATGTGTTGCTGCCTAACACAAAGGATCAAGAAGCGGACGGGTAAGGTTTTCCTGACATATAGACGCACGGACAAGCAATGGCGCTTCGGACCGGTGTTTTTTGGTTCGGTGCCACAGACAAGCAAAACGGACAGACAAGTTCACTCCTTCCAGTTTTTCAGCTCCGCCATGGACCATGGACTGCTTTCCTCATCTGGTGGGTCTAGAAGAACTCTTCCACGTCTTCGGTCTTCGAATATGTCTTCTTTGACCTCCCCCCTTGATGCCTACTTTGAGAGTGCGACATTTTCGGGGCTTGGTCATGGACTTCTCATCCCCTCAGAGTGGTCTTCTTCATCCCGTCATGTAGTTCTTCCAGATGTCTCAGAGATATCGAGATAACCGCCTCATATGTTACCATCACTTGCATATCGATCCGACTGCCGGTAAGCCACAGACAATTTAGTAATTTATAGAATATGAAATGATTTCCGAAAGATAAATTCTGCCTATATCGGGTCCAATTTTGAATTTTGTTTTGTTGAAGTATGGAAAGCCACAGACGCATTTTATTATTTTAATTAAATCTATTAAGAAATTTATTTTCAGTCAGTGAAGTGTTGTTGCCAAGGCCGTCACAAAGCACTAGCAGTTTAATGGTGCCACAGACATTGGTTGCCACGGTCAATTTTGAATTTTGATAAAATGCCTAAATGATAAGGTAGCCTTCCTTCAGTCCAATTTTTGATATTTAATAAATGTTCTGCAGCTTCTTATATACGCGGCTAAATATAGCTCGCAGAGGGGTTAACTAATTGATGCAGATGTAGTACCGTCGTTTTTGGATAGGATAAATCGTTTAAACTTTTAGCGTTTAAACTGTGCATTATCCCATCACAAAAAACGACAAAAGAAAAGATTTGTCTATTACGTGTATTTATTTCTTAAGGTTTGGCGATATTTTTGTCAATGGCTGTTAATCAAGAATATAAGGCATTTTGTTACAAAGTTCCATGTATGTCCCGATATCGGTCACATACGTTATGATAGATTATGCCAAAAAGGTTCATGAACGAATCGAGAAAAAAAAAAATGTACCTTCCGCCACAAAGATGACTATCATAACGAGCAGCCTTGTCAAAAATATCGCCAAATAAATTAAAGAAACACATCAACATAATATCCCAATGCAAGCCAACAAAGTATGTGTACCATCTTATTTCCTACGTAAAATGCTTCAAATAACATAATAAATGTGCAAGTATATCATTAAACAATAGATATTGTAATTGATTAATAAAGTGTCACATAAATTGTTTTGCAAATCGTGGTCGACTCGTCCAGGAAAAACCAAAACAAAAAAACCCTTTTAAATTTTTTGATTACAGTGTTATTTAAGGGAAAATATTATGGAAACCTGTGCCCATTTGCCATCACAGGAGAGTGACTGTCAAATACCACCGAATGTTGGGCCTCATCCTTGCAAAACAGTTAATATTTATACAAAACGATGTAAAAAGTGCGTAATACTTAAATATTTGTGTAGTATGTTAAAAATTTATATAGCTATTCAGAAATTAAACGCAAAACTTGCACACTTTGAAATTGTACTTATCACTTTAAAATTGTACTTATCACAAAAAAAAAATTGGCATTGAATTTTAAAGAGTTTGTCTCTCAGCGTTGTTCGCTAGAAACTGATTTCAAATATGAAAAGCCTGATAATATACAGCTCGAGTCATTCAAGCAACAATGAATGTACATAAACTGGTTTTGCATTAAACCTGGTACAAAGGTACTCATCTATACGTTGTAAAGCATTTTCCCCAAAGTGGACAATAAACATGTCTGAATTTGGATAGAAATCAAAACATGTAAGTTATTGTCTCAATAACTGGCAAAGTATCATACCGCTTTGATGCGTCCAGTATCCATGAATGTTGTCAATCTCTAGACCAAGTCAAGGGCCATCAGTGCGTTGCAATGCTCTCCCACCATAGATGAGCCTATAATCCAGATCGTGGAGCCTGAAACTAGTCTAACATATGTAACTTTCAACACAAAAATAAACATTAGAACTAATAAAACATTACGAAATAATTAACGATAAGATGAATGTATGCAATAACGTATTTATACAAAGCTAAACTAAATGAATTAATGGCAGAACATACTAGTACTTATATCTGTGATAACGTTTTTATTGCTCGCCATCTACACAGAATTAGTTCTTTTTAATACAATTCCTGACTGCACAATGACATAATATTATGGTCGAACTTAGTATCAAATATAACATGCAGTCACATGGATGCCGTAATATAGGATTTGCTGTATAAAATGAAAGTTGGTGAGACTGTCCTTTCAGAATACTAAGAAAACATACTAAGAAATTTACAAAACGCACGATCTACGGGTAAATGGCTGGCTTATACAGTGCAAAACCCCTAACGTAACATTTCCATCCTTATGTGTATAACTCTTATACAAATAAGGATGGAACTTATTATGACAATTCATCACAAAGACCCGTTGACGGACTCTAAGTGGAATTAAATTCTAAAGCCAAAAGCGGATCGCCGGGCCTAAAACGGGCAATGGCAGATCCTTTTTTTTTCTCTTTTTTTTTCTCATTTCATCACAAAGACCCGTTGACGGACTCTAAGTGGAGATAATTTCTAAAGCCAAAAGCGGATCGCCGGGCCTAAAACGGGCAATGGCAGATCCTTTTTTTTTATATATATACATTTCTCAATTGCATAATACCATATGCTATCAATATTTGATAAACAGCATAATACCATATGCCTCTTAAACATTTGAATTACAGCACAATATCATATGCTTTCTCAATATTTGATATACTGCATAATACCATATGCTTTGCATAATACCATATTCTATTCATATTTATTTTTATTTATTTATTGCATAATACCATATGCTATTCATTTATTTATTTTATTTTTTGTATAATACATATGCTTCTCAATACATGTATTTAATATAATGCATAATAC